ACACCGTCCAACACCACCTTGTCATTCCGACATGTCGGAAGGGGGCAAGGAATTGAAGTATCTGCTTCTAAAGTAGTGAGATGAGCCTTCTTAATAAGGTCTATTATCTTCACTGGCTGACTCTGATAAAACGTCCGCTACGAGACGGTCATATCATGTGACATTAATCATCCCTAAATTGCGTAGTACGTCTCAATTCGTAAGTAAAAGAAGATAGGAACTTGTTGGTATTGCCTTATTCCATATTTATTCGCCCAAGGTATGACTTTGGAACCATGCACAGTCTCCCAACGATCATAGAATCGGCCGGGCGTCAATCTACAGTTTCCTCGAACATAAGTAAGGACTTGAATACAGTCACTTTCTGACATGTCTGCCTGTTCTTTTGCATCTTCGATGTAGTTCTCAGCATGCCTGCTTGTGTATGTTCACATCAATTCATACCACGGTGTGGTAGGCCTGACATTGGCCGTCCGTGGAGTTTGCGATGATTTCGGAGATAGTCTGCGAGGTCGACGCCGATTTCCAATTCAAAACTTCCAAGACCATGTGCTGAGGTGTGCCGTTGTGGGAGGAGGCAGCCAAGTAACTAAGGCATATCAGTGTGTGGGCGAGCGCGGCAGCTTTGATGGCGAACTATAGTAGAATAAAGATAAGATCGTGGCGTCATTAACGAGCAATTTCAAGTTATGAGGCCAGTACATTTCTTGTGGATGCAGAACAAAGAAAAATTTCCAGCCTTAGTGACATGAACCACGGCCGCGAAACAAAAAGTACGTGATTGCAGTCTACGTGGTTCGTTTGCCGCATTTTACTAGTCGAAGAAACCACTTTCGATTAGTTGAATACGGAATGATCACAGCAGCGATATCGGCCAAGAACAACTTAGCATTTAAGATCTATTCGTAGACCGTTTAAGACCAGAGAGGGGACGTCTTGGGTCATATCTTCTGGTGAAAACGAGTCTGGATATAAACCTACGCGAGAGCCTGACGAGAAACTCCACGATGTGTGCCCAGTGATGTGATTATTAATTTGCTCGGCCTGGATGATGGATTGAAGATATTCGCTTTATGATCGTGAGACGGGAGCCACACGTGATCAAGTAAGAGTTGCGGCAGGTGTTCCTGGTTTTATCCAATACAATATCTATGGATAGTGTAGATCGCATGCTACCAAGTGTCGCAGAGCGAGGTTTGCATAGCCTCCAGGACTATTTCGTAGACTGCTTCATCATCTCAATTTGCCAAAAGTTCCTTTTAGTGGCGCTTCACATCAATCGAAATCTAGGCATTCCTTACGTTTAAGATCGGGCCTAGGTCAGTCGCACTCATCAGGAAGTCGCCATGCTAGTCACTTAGTCATAGCTAGGAAACAGTGATATTTTCCCATCACAGCCCTCATACCAAAGTTTCCTCTACCGTATGAAATTTGATGATGCGCGGTATTCTAGTCTTAGATCTAGTAGCCCCGCTTGACCCCGCTAACATTTTTTCCTCCACCTTGCATTAGCGAGGAAAACTTTTCCACTCCGTCCCACATTTATCTTGTGCCTTTAATACATCGATACCGTCTATGTAAGTACACCATTGTGAGATACTCTTTTGATAGCATCTATACAATCATGATAGATGGAAAGACTTTCATCAATCAGCTCATTCGAGCATCCGTATCGGTGGTTTAGTGGCACTACGCGTGCAATGACTTCTATTACACCCGAAATGTAAATTCGACTATAAATGATACATGTGTTCCGGAACCTTTTTCTGTTTCTCTAGTATATATTACAGAAAACCGAAAATGGAATCTCTTGAATTTAGCCCAATTATGCACTTGAAGCGTTGAAGGTGGGATTCAGAAATGGGAAACTGAAATACCTTTTCTGTTGTTGTTTACAAAGTGAAGTTTCATTTAATGTTTGTTCGAACATGCCAATCATGGCATGGCTACCTCAGATGAAACTTCCAGCGAAACTACTCAGCCCGAAGGGCCGCGCACAAAAATGTAAATGCCTTGTGTACCTATCTTCTCCTCATCTTGACGTGAATGAGATGTAAGCTTATTACATCAACATTCCGATGGAGAACATCTTGCTCGTCACCACAGTGACCGGCAAACTAGCTACAATTTCCCCGGCATCTGTTCCTTACGAGACGTCCGTAACAAGCCATTTGAAACGTCCCTTCAGCCCAGCAGCAAATTAAATGGCTCTTCCCTCTGCCCCTCCCAGATCTCCTTTTCAACTCTACCAAGTCCCTTCCGATAAGCTATATTATCAATCCATCCTATCCACATAGTCCAATAGTATTCATACCATTCACCCTTTCGGGGCCTCTCCGGGTGCCGTATTTCGTCGATTCCGGGCCATGGAGATATCCTATCACGGCAGCACCCTCTCGCTATTTCAACTAGCTCAATGGGTCTAGTATGATCCTGTAGAGTCTTGCCTGTTGCATCCAGCCCGTCGTGAGGTTGGAGGATGCCAGCCCAGATCTTTCTATGATTGCGGAGCGAAAGTACGGGACGGTATCCATTCTTCTTTGGAAGTTCCTCGCTCGGGAGAAACCAAGCCCTGCGGGTCATACAGGATATATATGGTGCGAAGATGCTTGGAATAGAGCCAGTCTGTTTCACAAGTGGAATGGGGTACCAGAACTCTTCATTGGGGTACTCTTCATGTGTGTAGAAGTATATAGATGGAGATTCAGGATCCGGTGATTGGTAACACTCGTTCGGATTTTCTGTGGTCATGTGCCGGGTCCAACCTACAGAGGAGCATTCCATGGGCTTCTTTAGCCACATATTCTTGCTACCGAGTAAACTTGGACAGATTGGCTTCCCGGGCGCTTCAACAGTTTCATGATATTTCCATGGCAGGATAGCTTCCACACGACGCTCATGTGTCCTACTGGCCCCGCTTTTCACATTCCTAATGAATTCCATCGCTGATGTTGTGTCGAAATTGATGGCTCCAGACCACCCAGCCCAACTCCAGCTTGGCAGGCGATACTGCGCCTCTGGACAACGGGATACTCGACGGGTTATTGTGTCATATGGTTGCCATAGGAGAGCTATTTCGAAAAAAGCCATCGGAAGACCTGATATGAAGCTGCCATGGAAGACTTGGCTAGCTAGAAATGCAATTCCATCAAAAGCGTAAAGAGCATCTTCCGGGTAAGTGAAACTTCTTTTGTTGTACTCTTGTAAGACCGACTGTAGCCAAATGAGGTCAGCGAATGAAGGCGTGAATAAGGTTTGACAAGGAAAACTGTTATCATGTGAAACATCGTCCAAATCCGGTTCAACGTGCTCACGCCAGGTCGCAGCTGGACATTCCCAGCGTACAGAATCACCGTCGAACACAAGTCTTTTCAGTGAAAAGAAGTTCTCCTGGTAAGTCCATCCCCTGGTTCCCCAAGCTGTCCCATGGGTTCCCAGCTCACGCTGGCTCGGCCCCATAGGGAACAGTATCACTCCCGTTTTCTCTGCTAAACAGTGAAAGCTTTGGCGCAGATTTCTTGCCTCTGAAATTCCGCGGAAACCTCTTAGACCACTATTAGCATGCTTCCCTTGGACTGCCAGAATAGTGACAGCAGAATTAGCATAGATCGCGCCCATTTTCGACATTTCAACGTGCTTCTGAGACTCGTCGTCTTGCACAATGCAAAGAGTATCAACCCACAAATACGTCTCTTCTAATAGCTCAGTCACTCCTATTGCATCTTGTATTGTTTTTGCAATTGGCATATTAGATAACGCTCCAACTCTCTGGAGTTGACTCATATTGCCAAGCGTAGCTTTTACGGTAGGTTGATTTCCCCATACATAACTAAGGGCAACATACGAGCAGCTCTCTGGAGCAGAAACAACACATCGACGCTTCACGTCGATAAGCCTGGTCGGTCTGGTGCGGCGCAAGATTCTTTGGGGAATGCTTCTGCATAAGCCTGCATGGCGACGGTCACAAGTATATTTCCACATCTTGGGCAGATTAGGGTCTATCCATTGGCGTGAGAGTACTCGACCTCCGATTTTATGCTCTGGATCGCCTGGTTGTTTGACACGATACATTCCATGCAATGGTGGTGTTGGAAGTGGACAACCAGGTAACATTATTGCTTTGAGACAAGTGCCCATTTGCGGGAAGTTGCATACTTCGAATAACTTTATGCATTTTGCCATTGAATATATCTCTTCATCAGGCTGATCGGAGTGAGAGCGCAGAGCGGAGAATATTAATTTCTGATGCCGATCGCAGTTTGATATACGTTCAATGACTTCGGTGCCCGAACCCAATTGCACCATCCCGTTTGCGAAGAAATCACCTTGCAACTCGCGGACTATCTTCCTACAAATATGGCAGTCTCCCTTAAGATGCGCACCATCAATTAGCTATAGTGCTAGAATGACATTTACGTGGGCATACTCCTGTCACGCACCTCTGTTGTTTCGGTCGTGTCTACATATACTCCAGACGTTTTAGGTGGTTCCGAGATCGATGTCTCTTCCAAAAGAGGAACGGGCTCGAAAGGCGGGTCTGCATGTTGGCACATACATTTACTGATTTTAGGGGAGAAGTCCACAAGCGGATCTAATTCTTCAACAATAAAAGTCATGCTTCAAGAGTGAAGTTCAGATCGGCTGGATTTTTTTTCTATGGAGTGCTATGAAGTGATTGTGAGACCCAGTACGAAAGCAGATCGTTGGTTTAGCGGGGCTGACGTGGGCCACTAGTCTGCATCGGATGCACATGATATCAGCCGTCGGAAAGATAGCCCCGCCGATGAGAGCTAATCCGCGCTCGCCACGTCTAATGTTAAAGACTAGGTCGATCAGCCATGGCATCCATAATAAGCGAAGATACCCCTATACCACTCTAATCTTCAACTAAGAGTTTTATTTAAATCAAAGAAGACCTCGTTTGCAAAGGCCAAGGCTCAGCATTACATGATGGATATATATATCATTATCAACGCGAAGGAATATAAGTTCCAGCACTTGCATCGGTGGTTTAGTGGTAAAATTAGCCGTTGCCAAGGAAATCAGCAATGACTACCAGCCGTCGGCTAGCCCCGGGTTCGATTCCCGGCCGATGCAGAACATTTCGTTTTTGTTTCATGGGTGCATGCTTTTTAGTGGTAGTCATAGTATGGGTGCATGCTTTTTAGTGGTAGTCATAGTGCTGCATTGCATTTCATTTCAACGCTGCGGAACCGTTAGCGTAAGGTGCCGGACGGCGACTTCGTATCCTTGGGAACAGATAGAGAAAAGCGAGGCAACAAATGCTATTGGGAAAAAATAAGAATAAAATGTGCCGCAGCACGAGTCTGTAGCAGAAGAATAACGTACAATATTCCAAAGGACTTCCAGCTCAAGAAACTCACGATACCACCGCAGAAGATGCTCAATCTCAGGAATTGTTTTATTCTAGGGTGAACTTAATGAAAGCTTCAATGATAAGCAATGGAACAATAACCCAAAATCTATACTCAAGGCGCTGTGAATTTTCATGAACTTGGTCAAGTCTGTCTTTGTTGCGATACGCAATTTGGGGCCCTTGATCATCCTGAAACTTCAATCTGGGTGTCAAGCCTACCAGCAGCACGACGTGCCTACTATCGACTGCGAATCAAAGGAATCGGGCACCGGACACGGCTAGTCCTCAGGGATCAATCTCGCGAGAGAGAGAGACGGCGAGATAGTCATTGCTGATCTATTGAAAAAGGATATGAGTGCTCCAGGCAACGCGGCAAAGTACATTTGTTGCCCTGACCTGCGGATATTGGAAAGGTGATTTCATTGTGACATCTGCATCTTGTGTCTTACCTGAGCAAGACTGTCTATTTGAAACTGGTATTAATACGCGGCGGCTGCGCTAGGAAACAGATAGAGCCGTATATGTGCAGCTCGCGTCTCCTGAAGATGATGAGTTCTATATCATGCCAAGAGACTCACATTGCCTTTTCTACAAGCACACGGCGATGAAAACTTTGCGATGCCAGACGTCGATACAGACGTCGAGTTGGACACCGAGAGAGCGGATGAGACGTACGACGAGATAGGCGACAAGGTAGACGACTATCAACTTCCTCCCGTCACAGCCAATTCGCTTTGTAGTCAAACAAGAAATGAGCATAGTAACAACCAGCCCCTAAAATTATCTTCGGTAGCCTAAATGAAGCGTCGAATTATCATTATTACAATATGAATATATTCAGCGTCGCAATGTACACTCGCTTCATCGCAGGCGGCCGCCTGAACTATGTATTGCCCCACACGGCTCACTCTATCACATGCACACCATCAAACTTCTTCTTCGGTAACCCTGCCTGTCGTCGCCAAGGCCAAGCACATACATACCACCGCCATGCGAATCCCTCCACTACTCTCGAGCCTCCTTTTGGTTCCAGTAGCTCTCCTATAGAGTAGTGTATGCGCTTCCGTCCTTTATTCGGAGGCCCCAGAATCAGCACATGGGTAGCCTGGACAGCGATCCTATCATACCCCCCATAACACATTGTGAGGTCCGGGATTTGTCCGGGATTTGAATTTGCATTGTGGGCCGAGTCGCCCCAGATGCACAATGCGTCAAGTACTATCTGTGAGCCTCTAACCTAGGGATGTACAAGGCTGAAACATTCTAGTTGCTCCAGCACTTGGAGCTCTCTAGAATACGTGGTAGGGCATGACACCACCAGTCTGAATCATCTCCGAGCAATCGACTCTCAGGAGTGCTCAATACTCATGTGAAGTAATCATCTCGTTCGTTCAGCCCGGGAGTATTAGGTTCGATCGCTGGCGTGGTGACTTGCGGAACCAAGCCTTTCATCATGTACACTAAGTCCGCGGCTTTAAATGGTTTTTGCATTACTCGATCCTGTATCCATTAGTCAGTTTCAAGTTTGACAAAAAAGCGCTCGCATATCGACTTACTGCACCTGCGGCGATCGCGGTATTGATCTGCTCTTGCCGTACATTCGCCGTGACCGCAATGATGGGTAAACGAGCGCCACCCCGACTGCCGATAGCGATCGCCTGTCCTAGCAACCCCGCTCCTTCAACTTCGCGCTTGCGGATCGCTCGCGTGGCTTCCAGACCATTTAGCACGGGCATTTCAAGATCCATCAATATACAATCAAACACCTTCTTCTCAACCATCTCGAGGGCTTCAATGCCATGATTCGCAACGTCGATAATACATCCTGCCTTCTTGAGTTGTTTACCAAGAACTTGCTGGTTGATCACATTATCTTCAACAAGCAAAACGTGAAGCTGTTGCGGTACGGGACCGATGCCACCGCTTTCATGGTACAGCTCGCCGAGCGTCTGGGGCCTACGTTCAACACGCCGAGTTTTCACGTAGAATCCGAATGTTGAGCCTTCACCGGCGATCGAGGAAACTCCGATCTCGCCACCTTGTTTCTCGGTCAACTCCTTACCTGAAGGGGGTGGCGTTAGTGTGAAGATTCATTGATGTTCCCAGGTCATAAATACTTACTAATAAAGAGCCCAAGCCCGCTGCCGCCGTATTTGACATGCGTCTTCATGTTCGCTTGATGAAACCTTTCGAAAATTTTGAGTATCTCCTTCCCTTTCAAACCGATACCAGAATCCTGCACAGAAAATGTTAAGTAAACTTCTTCTCCCTGGCCCCAATCCGGAGAAGAAGTCACATCATCGTAATTCTTGCATTTTGTGGCCCAGAATGTGTCGTCTGCGAAGAGGGAACGTGGCTCAGCCAAGCTAGCGCCGAAACGAACTGAGATGACCGGATCTTTCGAATTCTTAACAAACTTGATAGCATTGGTGAGGAGGTTTATGAAGATTTGTGTAACTCGCGACGGATCGAAATACATGTAGTTGATGTTCAGCTGTGATAGAGACGGGTCCGGAGTGACGTCATAGCGGATGTTGTTCGACTTGAGCTCAGCCTGGAAGATGCTTGAGATGGAACTAACCAGCTTTGCAGGACGAGTTGCGGTAGGCGTTATGGAGAGCAGCATAGAGTCCAGTTTGCTTAACGTGAGCACGTCATCTATGATTCGCTTTTGATGATTTGCGCATTGCATGATGATGTTCGCTGAGGCTAGATTGTCATCGAGCGTCTCGAGAAGCAATTCTGGCACCTCCGTAATTTTCACGCGACATTCCTCAACAGCGGTAGAAATACTGTCAGCACAATGGACGATTGCGCTCAAGGGGTTGCGCATTTCATGGGAGACAACATCGATGAAAGCCTCCTGTTGTCTCTTCGCTTCTTTCGCCTCTGCCGCCAGTCGCGCCTGGAATGTCTGGGCCCATTTGAGACGCGAGATATCGGTGGTACAAGCCATGATCGATTTAACTTTCCCTTCCTCGCGATAAGGAAAGGCCAGAACTTGAAGCTGGGCAGGTTCCGCATCACCGTTCGGTGAGATAAATAGCCGTTTCAGACGCATCTCGATGCTAACGTGATTAACGCCTGCCTTCAGCGAAGCCCATGCATCCTTGGCCCGGGGTAAATCCTCTTCAAGGTACACGTCCCAGAATTTGAACAATCCGCGCTGCTCTTCGGCTGATAGACCCGACAATGCGAAGTATTGGTCATTGGCCCATATTATGCTCCCGTCCAGTCCCATATGAATCATGCCTACTGATGCATGCTCGATCAAATGGCGCAATTTCATATCGCTGAAGGCTAGGTCATCCTCGAGTTTCTGTTGCCGTTTCTTCACATTGGCGGCGGTTGCGGCAGTAGCTACGATGCTTGACACCATACGACTGAGGTCATTCACAAATTGTTGGGAAGCATCGTCATATGGCCGATACGGATTTGTCCCGACAATGAGGTACCCAAATACGCGCGAACCACTTGTGATGGGTAAGATGGCAATCACTTTGGAAGGTGAACCAAATCCAGCCCAAGTCACAGAATCGAAGCGTTCGTCGTATTCAATAGTTGTAACATCAGGTCCTGCGCGGCGACAAACCGGCACCAGCCCTTCATTGCTATTGATGCTCCGGTTATCAACGATCAGATTGTGGCCTTTCGGCAACCCATATTGTCCTCGTAGCCGTAGGATCTTGGACGTAGAGCTCTCGTCTAACTCGTATAACATGGCGAGGGGGAGGTCGGTTACGTCAGTCGCAAGGGTCTCGAGGATCTGGCTGCAGGCGCCATCAGGATCGAAGTCAGGTAGAGAGGCTAGTCGGTTGAGTAGCATAGTGCGACGTTCATCTAAGCGCTGGTTTGTCACTTCGAAAAGCGAGTTGTAGTATCCTTGAGGGTGGTTGGTCGGACCGTTACCAATGGGTACGAAGTTACCGTTGAAGAAAGCTCTGCCGCCGTCAGCATCGGACTCCAAATCAACTAACATATACAGCCAGTGATGTTGGGGCCTAACTCACTCCTCGCGCCATCCTCTCCGCTCGACTATGAGAGCATCCTCGGGGCTGTAGTCAAGGCCCATACCAGTATCCCGGGCCTTGTCAAAGTACGGTTTGATGCTAGGCCAGAGATCTGGATAGCAGTCTTGAAATGCAGATCCCATTCTAGATGTCGTGGTATGATTAGCAAACCTATTGGTACCAAGGCGTGTCCTGTGCGTGCTTACAGCTTTGGATGAACACTTGCTGCGAGTGGAGCGTAGGTCTCATTGTAAATAGCTGTGTAGGAATCGCCCCTGGGTTGGTGTTAACATCTGCTCGGGGCAATTTTCCCGTGGCAACATACCACCAAATACATGCCGCCCTCGAATCAGCCATCACCATCCGGGTGAAGGTCCGCAGAGTCGCATTCCATCCTTGGAGTGGCCCCAAGGCACTCTTTCCCCAGTCCGTTTCGCGAAAGAAGCGGACATGGTCCGTGTTCGGGAGGTCGAGGGTCCAGTCGCCTTCGTCGTCGATGCTGGAGCCATGATGGCTTCCCTCTAAGACAATGACGTCGCCGCTATCGGGAGGGGGAGTGACGGGGTTTTGCATCCGTAGTCTGGACGGCGGACGTGGCGGGAGAGGGCTCATGAGGAGTTGAAAGCCCCGACATATCTATGGCGGGTTCGTAAGCATCACGGCTACCGTAAGCGGCGGCGGCGGCATCTTTAATGCATCCTAATGTTGGA